TATATATATTAAACATACTTTAGTTTACAGCTACATATGCACTTGAAATATTGATTTAAAAATTAGCTACAAATTGTTAGACTACATTATATGTATATGCACATATATAGTATAGATATAAGATAAGCGTCTACTTATACTGTCGAGTGGCGAGTCACTAAATTTTTAAAATGAAAATCTTCTCTTTCTTGTGCTAATGCGGAGGGAAAGGGATTTGGATGGGAATGAGGATGAGGATGGAACATTGTGAATGAGGGAAAGCCTATGTTTTTACAATCACGGGAAAAAAGTCTTTGAGTAGTGTAGTGCGACGCTTTTCTGCTATATCCATTTGATTCTCGAGCACAGCACGATCCGTTGTCTCCGCTCGCTCGATTTTCCATGACAGATTCTCAATTTCAGCCTCCAGTTGCGCCTGCAAAAATTAAAATTATATTAATTAGAAATATGTGTTTATTTAATTATACAATATATATAATATTAACTAGGCTAACCATACGTAAAGAAACAACTATATAAACTGATTTTTGAATTTCCTCTCACCTGCTGGTATTCGAACAGATTTTTGCGGGATCCCGGTTCCATATAGTAGGCATATGGATACGTATATTGCAGGGTATATCGACATTTGGCTAGCAGCGCGGCTGCATTGAACAGGTATTGCCAATCGATCCAGGTGCCGCTGCCATTCATCACCTTCGTATTGATCCGCTGACGCAGTCGATCGATTGTCTGTTGCTCGAGCTTGAGAGACTTGGAATGGTTCTCCCAGCGCTCGTAGTAGTGCAAATACTTTTTGAGTGCCTCGCGCGCCTGCACATGAACCGATTCGTTGGCTATATTGGGATTATCCTTGTAGCGCGAGCATTCGTAATACTCTGAACCGTGCGTCTTCCAATCCCCCAGGCACATCCAGCAGAAGTCGTGCTTGCAGTTGAAGCACTGCATGTGATTGCAGCCGCCGTTCTTCTCGATGCAGATGTGACACTTGGGACAGTCTTTGGTATGGGCGCTAATGTAGTTGGCTGTTTCGCTGTCATCGGCGCACTTCGTCAGCCACTTCCTGATGATCTGACAGTCTGTGGGCGCATGGTAGTCCATGCCGCACTTGAAGCAGAAGCCCGTATGGCACACCTTGCAGATGGCACGCTTCGCACAGATCTCCGATGATTGCACAATGATTTGGCAATTGGGGCCGGGACAGAAACGCAGCTGCGGATGAGATTTCACGTAGTCCTTGAAAGCAAACTGCTGGTACTTGTCCCGCATCACTGGCCGTGTGACCAGAGTCAGTACCAAATCCTCGGGCACCCGGACATTACACTGCTGTGCCATGCAGCCAATCTGTATGGAGATGCCCTGAAAGATTTGCGTCTCAAAGTAAATGGTCCAGCAATCCTTGCAAAACGAGTGTCCACACGCCAAGCTATAGAACTTGTCATTCGGCTGCGTGCTCGCACACACCGGACACATCCGTCGCTGTGGCTGTGACTGTTGCTGTTGCTGAGGATTGCCGCTGGCAGCTGTTGTTAGCGATGAAGTTGATGAAGATGCTGTTGATGTCCTATAGCCGCTGCTGCTGCTCAAGCGCAGTTGGGCGGCCGCAGCAGCACTCGTCGAGGCCGCGTCCACGGCTGTGGTGGGTGGCTTGATTCTCGCCGACACGAGTAATGCATTCGCATCCTGCCGATACTTCTCCACCACAGCCGCATTGTTCCACTGGTGCTCGAGCAGCAGCACTTTGGCCAATGAAGGCGTTATTTGTAGTATTGTGTTCAACTTCTCCACCAGCTCGTTCAGCAGCTTCTCAATGTCCTCGACGGTTAGGCACTCGTACTCAAAATATTCGGGATCGGCGCGCTTCGGGTCAAGTCTCTCGACATCGCAGTCTTCGCCTAAAAGTAGACGATAGTTATTGATCAATATAATGACACAGTAGAGTCCGATATATTTATTGCAGGGTAATTGAGAATCACTGAGAGAAAGGATCGATTTGATCGATGTATTCTTTTCATACCCTATAAATGTGACATATTTTACCAGATAGTTCGAACACCCTTATTTTCTGTTTCTGTTATTTTGAATCGGGTTTTCCACATAATCTACCAAAGGACTAGCCAGGTGCAATCGCTAAATGATTCATTTCCCTTTTCTACCTGCTCTATTCACATGTTTACAATGAAAAAAATAAAAAACAAAAACGAAAAAAAGTCCAATTCATGATAATCTATAATGGAATTGATTGCCATTTTAGCGACGGCTTGGAAAGAGGGAAGACAAAAAATATTGAAGGCCGAATATTACGCCGTTGGCTTACAAATGAGATATTTCTATGACGTCACAACCAGCTCAGTGTAGGCGTGTGTGTGTGTAGGATAGAGGAGAGACGGAGATGAAGCAGCAGCTAAAACGCAGGTCAAAAGCAGCTAAAATTGTTGACGGAAGAAACTGCACGACGCGTCGCGACGTCAGACAGCGAACACTTGAGCACGCATCTCGCTGCGGAGAGGAAGAGCAGCAGCAGCAGAAGCAGCAACAACAGTAACAATATCAAAAGCAGGTAAAAGGCATACCAGTAGAAAGAATACAAAGTAAAGGTGGCAATAATACAGATAATAAACAGTACATGAAACCAAAGTTGAGCTAAGGCGACTGACAGATACCCTGTATATGCACATTAAAAGCACTTAAACTTGCACAACACGCACGATACAAATCTTGTTATCGATAACTTGATGTGCAGCTGATCTGCTGCACTTTAGAGATGAGAGCGTTTAATAATGAGGAAATTACAGAACTGCTATTTTGAGCTTAGCACAAATCTAGCACTGGTGCAATATACCCTTGATCCCATAAGTATAGGGTATAATTAGTAACAACAGAGATTTAATAGAGCGCTGGCCCCGTAGTTCTTGGCACTGGCCAAGCTTGACGTACGTACGACCATTTCAAGTTCAATTTCAATTTCATAATTTAAGTTTCATGGTCAGAAAGCAAACGTAACGAACCGAACACAACAAGAAATATTAAACACAATCAAATTATATTGTAAACGAGCGAAGAAGCCGCAACGGGCGAACAAGAAAACAACGAATAGGGGGAAAAGAGTTCAAGTGTAAAAGGCAGAGAACAGGGCAGGTAAAGGCGAAT